TTAAGTGTATCGTAAATGAAAATGTTAAGATAGTTGCAATAGAAAGGATACATTAAGAAATATTTTGTTAGATGAAAGGGGTTGAAGTGACATCTATTGATTATAAGGTGACAGAAAAAAAATTGAGATGGTTTGAACATATGCAATAAATGGCAGAAAATGTGCCCTATTAGGCGAGTAGATAAAATTATTGTTAGAGCATTAGAAAGGATCATGGATGGATCTAATGTTGCATTAGTAGAAGTTGTTTAAAATGATTTTTGAAGTATATGTTTAAAGTCTCATACGATACTGTTGAATGAATGAAACTCGAGGATGTAAAATGCTAACCATATAGTTTTAGTAAAGCTAATGATGATGATGAGGTTGGAGGAAATAAAAAACTTCTATTATCTGTTTCTTATTATTTATGTCTTGTTTTATGGCTAGAGTAGTTCCTCTGTTTTTCTTCTCTCAACCAAAGTACTTGGGATTTAGAAAAAGTCTAATGCAGCATATGTGATCTTTATAACTACTAAATTCTCTTCATGTTAGGTGACGTGGAGCTCGACTCACTTCATCCATGTTTGGGCAGTTCCTATATCATTGGCAAGATATTGAATGTATTTAATTCTTCTTTTTCTAGATGCCTTCCGGCTACTTCCCTGCTTGGTTCCCGCCTCTTGCTTCTGCGAATAACGAAGGAGAGGGTCCCATGATCCATTAAATATCAGCAAAGGAAATTGGATTGTAACCTCTGGCAGCTGAACTCCATGCATCGCAAGGCCCGACTCTTCCTAATTGCTTCTTCGGCCTTTTGGCTTACACAAGGAAGAAGGTTCTCATAGCTGCTCCTTCTGCTTCTCCGCTCAACAGGGAATTCGAGAAAGGATCGGCTTCCCTTTGTCTTCTTCTGTGGCTTGTGGGGGGAGAGAGAAAGAGGGAGAAGAGAGAGAGAGAGAGGAAGAGAGAGAGCTTTTCTTGTGAGTCGACGTGATCAACAGTGCGTAATTCCTCAAGCTAATAAAGTTCTCTGCAGTTCCGTGGACGTAGGCAATTTGTTGAACCATGTAAATCTGTGTTTTTCCTCTTTTCTGTTTGTGAATTTCTCGTTCCAATTTTCACTTTATTGTTGAATCACGTAAATCTGTTTTTTACAACAATTGGTATCTGAGCCATGGTTTCGAATCTATGGAAAAATGATGGTTGGAGATGAAGTGATGACATCAGAGATCGAGAAGTCTAATGACACAAATTTTGGTTACTGGACGATTCAGATAGAGGACTACCTCTATGGGAAGAAACTTCACCTGTCGTTACTGAGAAAGCAACCGGAAAAGATGAACGCCATCAAGAAAAGAATTACTGCAGATTTCATTGCAGTTTTATCAGATATGTATGAAAAGCCATCGACAAATAAAAATGTGCAATTGATAAAAAAGTTATTCAACTTGAAGATGACAGAAGGTGTGTTGTTGCTCAGCATCTGAATGATTTTAATATCATCAAAAATCAATTGTCGTCAGTTGAAATTGATTTTGACGATGAGATACATGCGTTAATATTGTTAGCTTCATTGTTAAATAGCTTGAAAATCATGAGGATGGCGGTTAGCAATTCTGCAGGTAAACCTAAACTACAATATGATAATATTCATGATTTAATTTTGGCTGAGGAGGTGTTCAAGAAAGATTCTTGCGAGACCTAGAGTTCAATTTCGACATTAAATGTTGATTCCAGAGGGAGATCACAGGACATGAAATTAAATAGAGGAAGATCAAAATCAAAGCACGAAGACAAGAGCAAGTCAAAGTCTAGACTAAATCAAAGCACGAAGACAAGAGCAAGTCAAAGTCTAGACTACCTGCTGGAATTGTGGCAAAGCTGGCCACATAAAAAGAAGCTGCGAAAATTCGAAGATGGAGGATGATAGCGTTATTATTGTAACTGAAGTAGTACAGGATGCATTATTGCTGACAGTGTACAGTTCTGTTGATAATTAGATACTGGATTCTGGGGTTTCTTTCCATACATCTTCTCACAGAGAGTTAATGCAAAACTATGTTGCAGGTGACTTTGGGAATGTGTATTTGGCTGATGGAAAAGCTCTGAATGTGGTGGGGATGAGAGACGTTAATATTGGACTCCCTAACGCAAATGAACTTTGCAAAAGGTCAGACACATTTTTGAATTGAAGAAAAACTTCATTTTTGTTGGGTAGCTCAATGAAGGTTATCATACAATAGTGGTCTCATATAGCTTCTGAAAGGTTACAAAAGGGTCACCGGTACTGCCTCGGGGTAAGAAAACTGACACAATATATATGACTACAGGTTTACTCGGGCTTGGTCACATGAGTCAGGTGGTGTGACAAAATTTCAGTCCAGAGGCAAGCTACCAGAGTTAAAGTTAGTTGATCTCAGCATGTGTGAGAGCTGCATTAGAGGGAAGTAGCATAAGGTTAGTTTCTTGGAAAGTGGCGGAGCTCTAAAGGCAGGAAAACTGAATCTTGTACACACGAATGTGTTGGGACCTTCTCCAACGACATCTCTTGGAGGCTCGCGTTACTATGCCACAGTTGTTGATGACTACAGTAGAAAGGTAAGGTTTGCTGATCTGCTAGAGGTCACAGTTCATGGCAGTGATTAAAATGATGAGGAGAGTAGGTTCGGGGCACCCTTTCCTATTGTTCAGCAATCAGCTGCAAAGTCATCCAACCCTACAGCTACAATTCGCAGGTCAGTCAGGAATAGACGTTCTTAGTGTTACTCACTGAACTTGAACTATATTATGTTGATAGATGGGGGAGAACCGCAAAACTATGAATAAACCTTGCAAGATGAAAATTCGAGCAAGTGGGATCTGACTAGAAAAAGGTAGAAGCTGAAGTTGTGCTCGACTTCAGTTGGTCTTCTTGCTTGAAGACAGGAGATGAGTTGCAAATGTGGAGGATATCACATTTGAGGAAAAGGACGATGCATCCAATGTTCCGGCCTCCAAGTGGGAGAATTCTTTGGTGATGTGGAGCCCGGCTCACTTCATTCATTTTTGGACAGTTTCTATATCGTTGGCAAGATATTGAATGTATTTAATTCTTTTTTTATGGATGCCTTCCCGCTACTTCCCTGCTTGGATCCTGCCTCTTGCTTTTGCGAATAAGGAAGGAGAGGGTCCCGCGATCCATTAAATATCAGAGAGGAAATTGGATCTTAACCTCTGGCAGCTGAACTCCATGCATCGCAAGGCCCGGGTCTTCCTAATTGCTTCTTCGGCCTTTTGGCTTACACAAGGAAGAAGGTTTGCATAGCTGCTCCTTCTTGCTTCTCCGCTCAATAGGGAATTCGAGAAAGGATCGGCTTCCCTTTGTCTTCTTCCGTGGCTTGCGAGTAGAGAGGGAGAGAGAAAGAGGGAGAAGAGCGAGAGAGAGAGGAAGAGAGAAAGAGCTTTTCTTGTAAGTCTAAGTGATCGACAGTGTGTAATTCCTCAAGTTAATAAAATCCTCTGCAGCTCCGTGGACGTAGATAATTAGCCGAACCACGTAAATATGTGTGTGTCTGTTTTGCTATGTTTTTTGTTTTGCGAATTTTCTCGTTCCAATTTTCGCTTTATTGTCGTCATTTTTTCACAACACTTCCCTCGATCCAGGTATTGAGATTTAGAGAAGATCAGTTCTACATTTGTGATCTCCACAAATCCTGATCTGTAGGCCTCATAACTTATTTAATATCTTATGTTAGGCCTTTTTGTGATGTTGGTTGTTGGCAATCTTTGGGTGGTAGGCATAAGTAGAGGAGGATGGAGAGCTTCTTTGTTGATGTGGGATATTTCCTCAACTGCTAATCTAATGTCTATGTCTAGGTCATTTGAGGGGTCATGTGACTACTTTCACCAGTAAGAATTAAATGTGACCTCAAACCAATCTTGAGGACCTTCATATATTTCTTTACATTCTTTGCTGGGACTTGAATGGGTCATTTTCAAAATTAAGCCTTTGTTTTAAATGCTTATAATATTATGAATGCATTTGTGGTTCATCCTTTTAAACATGCTAATATATTTTAATATATGTTATAGAGTTGCTAGTTTATGGATTTGCTCAAGACCACACAATGATTAAATGTGGCCTGAAACTTTGTCAGCTAATGGTTTAAGCATTAACCTTTTATTCAAATCATTAAATATTTTGTTGGTTAAATTTGTAATGAAAAAATTTTTAATTTTAACATATTTCTTAAATTTAATGAACTTTTGTGACTTTTATTCTATTTATTTCTCTTAAAAAGAAGACATAATAAAAATTTTAAACCATTTTCTTATATATATATATATATATATACAATATTTTGTACATAAGTGTATGTCCAAAAGATTAATTTAAGATTGTTGCTAACATCATTTACTATTGCTGATTTGATAGTTGATTTAGTGATTCTTTAGATGCATATGTGAATTAATAACAATTATTTTCTTGTTAACTAGTGTTAAAATAATATTCTCTTTTTATATGTCAATTTTTGAACTTTATAAATATTTTAAAAATATGCTATAAATTTTAACAAACTATTTTGTCTAGCATAAAAAGGCATTTTATTTAACTCTTCTAGTTTTAGGAAAATCATATTAAAATGGCCCCTCAATTATTTTTGGGGTATTGGTATAGTCCAAGCTATATGATATGTCCAATTTAACATCTCGACTCTTCAATTCTGATTCAAAATTGTTTCTTAACTTCTCAAATGCAATTCAAATACATAGAGACTAATTTATATCATGTTTGAGACCTTTAGGCTAAAATGAACGTATTAGATAAGCTGTGACTGACATGAACCCATACAAAAATCCATGGATCATTTTAACCATTGTTTTTGTATTCAATGTTTTATTTCTATATTTCAATTTGATTTTAAATTGTGAGAGTTAAATTATGATATTTTAACATATTTGTAGCATTATCGTATTATTTTTATTTTAACTCACTCATGCACCCATACGTGCTTGAGTTTGCACTCATGATCTTACAGTTGGAGACAGCACATACAACTACTAGGCCAAGCGGACTGTATGAAACTGTACTTTTTCAGCATCTATAATTTTGGTGTCAAAGATTTATATTTAGAGATTGGCAGCTTTTGAAATGCTATGGATTTCTTATGAGAATATTTAGTATCAACCAAAAGTTTTTTTAACCCATTGTAACATGCAACGAAGTCCAACTTCCTTTGTAAACTGATGAATAATTTTGTTCGCATTCATTCAAATTTCGGCTGAATTATCGCTAATCTTATGATTGATATAATTCTAAATGCTTGTTGAACTCCAAAATTCAGTTTTTAGCTTGTTTCTCACTTGTGAATGTAAATGCATCCGATTTTAAGGTCTCTTACAAGAACTTATTCAGGAGGGAGAAAATATTATGTCATGACTCCGAACGTAGAGCTACGTTCGGAGTTCAATAAAATGAGGACACGCGGAATGTCGGGACCTACCTACGGGGTGGGAGAAAAAAATAATTTTTTTCGGCACGAATCCCAGACCCGTTGATTTTAAAATTTAAAAATTAACTCTAATCGTGTGACCCGACCCCAATCCAACCCAAAGTTGCGAAGCTTCCAATAACACCGCAAATTAATCGAATAACACTTCATTTTCCATAAATAACACCGCGGAATATTCGAATAAATTCCTTAGAAGACCAAATAACACAGTGGAAATTGAAATAACGCGAGGAATATGCCGAATAACACAGCCCTAAATCAAGTAACGCTAGGGAATTTCCAATAACACTGCAAAGTAATCGAATAACACCACATAATACTTGAATAAGACTTCATTTTCCATAAATAACACCGCAGAATATAAAATAATCCTACGGAATTAGAAATAACGCTGATGGAATATTCCTATAACATAACAGGAATATTTCTATAACACAACTATTTCTGTATTAAGTGTGTTATTTAAGTGTAAATCGGTGTTATTCATGTGTTATTCCGGTGTTATTCGAATTTTAAAGCACTGAATGTTGTGAAAATAAAGTAATTTCAAATGTTTATGTTAATTTCCACGAATGACATACTTTTATTTGCTTTTCACTGTACTTAATGTTTTTAAAGTATGTAATTTTCCAATTTTAATTAAAAGATATTGAATTTAAGAATAAAGGTTTGGGGTTAAAGTTGGGCCGGGCTGCACACGCATTTTTTTTTATATCAAAATTCTATATGAGTCCGACATTCCACGTGCACTCATTTGTTTGGAGTTATGATGTAATATTTTCTCTTCATCTTGGGGAGGAAGGAGTATCCTAGAAAGCTAGATGTATTATTTTTCTTCTTTTAGCCTTTTCCATCTCTCTCTCTTTTATTTATTTACAGTGGCCCCACCCTCTAGCCAAGAGGAAATTTTCCGTTCCTGTAAATTGCATATAATAAGAGATGGAAAATAAACACATTTTTAATTCCCCATATGGGAGAATTTTATGGATGCTCAGAATGGGATGATGGGATTATCAAAATATGCTAAAAACTAGGACTGAAATAGTGAAAATAGACAAAATGGTCCCCGGGAAGACTATCTTAGCCCGCATGAAGGCAATCCCGGAATTAATTTAACACATATAACCTCTGGGACTGAAATGGCCTAATGTAAATGGTCAGGAGATAAATTTGACATTTTTAGCAGCAGTATTGATTTCTCTACGAATGCCTTGGCTCTTATGTTTGCAAACTTATATTTTGGCTGCCATTCTTTAACCATTTATTGCCCAACTATTCTCTAAGTACCAGTAATATCATTCTGATTATTTGTTCCCTTCTGCAGCTTGTCATAGTTTGGCACCATTCTCTGTTTGGTTTTTCAGCCATTTTTGAATCCCTCGAGGATGATGAGCCATGATTGACAGTATGATTGTGTTGCTTGCGGCGATCAGGCTGGAAGGTATTCTTCATCCTACAATGGTGTTTTGCGCCAGCCAGCTAAACAGCTTTCTACAGGACAATGGTAGCGGCTTTTGCCTGTTTGGTAGATGAAGGCTTGTTTTATGGATTCCCGAAGCCAATCATCAAACAGTGCTTTTTAATGGAAGCTTCCCAGTTTAAGTTGCTGAAAATGGAACCCTTCTCTGCTTGCTACTTGGCAGGCGAAGGTAACAATTTTTCAATATATATATATATATGTATGTATGTATGTGTATGTATGTATGTATGTTTTTAGTTGAGTTGGGTTATCCAAGGAGCCAACCAGATGAGAGTGGAAGAGTGGAAGGTAGCGTGGATATGAAAAATCGGGTTTTTTTCGTGGGAGATTGTGATTGTTTGTAGTGAATGTTATTCTGAAGAACTCAACTGTTAATGCTGATTTGTATTTTGCTTTTTTGGAACTTTACATACATGCCACCCAATTTTTATGTTTTCACATATCTCATACCAAAAGTATGATATTTTCATTTATAGCACTTGTGTTATAAGCTTAAACATGAATTATTTTACTTATATAAATTTAGCAATAATGGTGTTTTTGATGTATTGCTAAAAATTTGGGTGTTATGCATGTAAAAAGTGAAAATTTTGGTGGTAGATATTTAAATTCATAAGAATTGTGTGGTATGTATGTAAATGTTCCTTTATTTTATGACTCATGGTAGTGTGGTAATTGAGCGAATCATGCCGAGCATTCTATAGTTTAATTTTGTTCAATTATTCATAGAGTTGAACTTAAATATGGCTCGGATTTTAAAATCTTATTTAAATGTATTTATTATTATTTTATTTAATCTAAGGTTTAATTACGTAACTATATATGTGATTGTTATGATTTATAATTGCAATCATAATTATGGTTATTAAAATTGGATTGGTCATTGTATAGGAAGAATAAGAGGCTTAATACCAAGTTGAATTGAATGATATAATAAATATTTAAGTTATTATAATATAATTTAAATGATGTAATAATATAAATATGAGATAAATATATGATAAAACTAAATAGAATTTGAACATAATTAACATCTTTGATAGGTAGCCAACAAATTTTCATCAGTCGACACGAATTTTGGTGTAATTTTTTGAAAAAAAAATATTTAAACTTCAATTAAGAGTCATCCAGAGCTTTGATTTCAGTAAATTTATAGTCAAATGGATCGGTTTGATGAGACGGAACTAATGATATGAAAGT